TTGATGAAAATCTGGGATTTGGTTGCAGTTAAGACATTTCTCTCAGGATACGTCTACACTACGGGACAAAGTCGAATTAAGATATGCAACTTCAACTACGTTAATTGCATAGGTGAAATCAAGGTGCTGTCAACACTGCAGGAAGTCAAAGGGAGAACACTCTTCCTTGGACTGCCCTTACTTCTCATGAAACCGAGACCACAGACATCGATTGAAGCGCCCCTCCCCTTCCAATGAGCTGTCTTAACTAGACCCTCTAATTCAAACCCTGGATGATGGACAGTGGCAGCATCGACCTTCCTCTATAGCTTTGGCATTATCCCAGCTGAAGTCTCTTTGGGTATGTCTATCTTTGCCATTTCTTTGGGGAGTCAACCTCGGAATGCAAACCAATTTTTTCTCCTTTCATAGTGTGGCTCATTGGTTTTCGAACTCCTGGTGTCACCAATGCTAGCTGATGACTAAAGAGAAACTTTTCTTTTTCCCATAGAAATCACAAGATCCTCCACTGGGCTAAAATGAGTCCAGGCCCAGTGACTTCAATGGAACTAACCACACTTCTACCGTCTCAGGATAAGCATGTTCCATGGGAATACAAACTCATGAGAACAGAGGAACTGGTACATTGGATCACACCAGTTGGCAGCTTAAGAATTCTCCTATCCCCAAAAGAGAGGGGTAGCAGCTGCTTTAGAATACAATGGGAGAGTGCTATATTGGCCATTTACGGACTGAGCTGGGAAAGTTTCTTCTGCATATAGCTAAATGAGAAATGGCTAAAGGTTTAAAAGATATTTATTTTGTTTCCAGTTAATAGGAAATCTGTTTTGGAATTCCATGTGTTGCTCTTAAGAAAACCCAGCTCAATCTGCAACTGAAAAACTATACAAAATCAATATAGAAGAATAACACCATGCATGATAAGAATGACAGAGAATCAAAGGAAGATTCACCCTAAAGGGGATATGGCCCCTACTGTGCTGTCTCTCGGAGGAGAAAGAGAGGAAGTCAAACTGGACTTACCAAGATCACCGAGGAGATGAAGTCCAGAGAAGAGTTTAGAAGAGTTCTGAATTGTGAGCGCTTTTATACAGGTTCTAGGACAGCCTGGAGGATTTATGGTGCGTTTTGTACAGGAACCCCCAATTAGTAATCTCACAAACTTGGTTGCCTTGGTACATCCTCCTTTTGATGCAGCTGCTTCCCCAGGGCTGGGCATTATTATTATTAGGGCTAATCCCATTGATGCACATTACACTCTGCATTCCCGGGGCCTTGGTGGTGCAATGAGAGCGAATGTCAAGGTGATTCAGAGCTGGATCAGGAGCACAACTGGGTCTCATGAGCAGAAATCCAGTTTGATCTTTTGCTTCACATTGATCATGATTTCCTTTTGGGTCCAGGGAAGGGATGGAGGCCAGGGACAGGAAGCAAGGCCTTTGATGGAAAGCTTTTGTGTGAAGTCATGGAATGTGGACTCCATCCAAAGCATTGTCTGTGTGACTGAGCTGACAGGAAAGGGAGGTCTTGTAAGATAACACATTTGAATAGGACAAGAGAGAAGCCCAGAGCTGGCTAAAGTTTGGTCCACCTTATCTTTGTGTGCACCTTAACATTTCTTTCCTTGGAACACGTCTCTCTGATGGGTCGTAATGACCCAATGGTTTGGAATTCTTCAATATGTGTGGAATGCGGTACAGAGTAGGCCATGTTTCTAACTTTAGCCATTTTTACCTGTCAGGATAATAATTATTCAATTAATTCCAAGGATGCACATTTCAAGCTGGTCACATGCAGGGCAGGAATAAAACTGTCCACATTGAAATCCAATGCGATAAACTTTTGTACAATATCATTAAAATCTGCTCATATGTAAATAGCCATCACTGAGCCATCCCCTGCAAGTAAAAGGGGCTATAATGGACTGCAAAATACCGACTGTAGATCTTGGTTCACACTTACATCAGACAATGTGTCACTCAAACTTTTCCCTAAAATCATCACAACGAAACAAGACAAATGCCAGACGAAGCCTCTCGAAGAGGTCCTCTCAGGTGCATAGTGATAGAAACGTAGCCGTGTTAGTCTGGGGTAGTTGAAGCAAAATGCAGGACAATGTAGCACTTTAAAGACTAACAAGATGGTTTATTAGATGATGAGCTTTCGTGGGCCAGACCCACTTCCTGAGGGTTTGATCTGAGGAAGTGGGTCTGGCCCACAAAAGCTCATCATCTAATAAACCATCTTGTTAGTCTTTAAAGTGCTACATTGTCCTGCATTTTGTCTCAGGTGCATGACGTATTTGGAAGTGGAGAATGGTAAGTGTCCCGGGGGGGGATCAGGAGATACGGGGTCCTAACCATGTCTGTTATTTTTTGATTCACCAATCTCTCTCTGTCTGACCTTCACCTTAACGTGCCTCCATTGACCTGTGTGGCAAAGTGGTACAATTGTAACTTTCATGGTGGATTGTCTGAAGCTCATGCTGGCATTTGTCTTATTATATTTTGATGATTTTTGGTAAAAGTTTGGGTGAAACGCTGGCTGATGTAAGTGTGAAGCATGATCAACAACCATAATCCTTATGGCCCATTAGAGAGACGTGTTTCCAAGGAAAGAAAAAGTTGCACACACAGAGCAGTGGGCAATTTCACCCCAATGGGGTGACACCTGACGCCATGGTGCGGGCTGCAGAGTCGACAGTGTCCAGGGAAGCCTGGAGGGCCGAGTGGGCAATGGCTCTGTCCTCAGAGGTCATGGCCGCAAACTCCTGACGGGCCTCGGCAGGTAGCTTGTCTTTAAACTTATCTATTCTATACGGAATTCTATACGGTGGTTTACGTCGCCAGCACTCTTACAGAAATGATACGCATATGAGGGACTGTAATTCCTTTGGAGAAGTATTGTCTTCAGGTATAAAGACGACACAGTAAAACTGGATCAAAAGTTAGCCAGCTTTTATAATTGATGCTTATGTCGAAGGATGCATAGTTTTTAAACAAGGCATGTAATTACCTTGCTCTCTATAAAAGCGTAACCATGACGGACCTCACATTTATCTTGTGGTAGAGTCAGAATACTGTGTTGTGTTTCTATTTCACCATCTCACACGATCTTCACCTCAAAGTGTCTCTTTTTTGACTCCTATAAAACAGGGATATTAAGGATGTTAAAATGGGAAATTATTCAGCCTTCTTTGCAGTGAAGATTTCAAAGGACTTCAGAACACTCATTTTTGTTTCATACATGCAAGGCAAAGTACTCTTAATTAATGTTAATTTACTCTGGGATTAGATGCGTCTGCAATGAGTAATAAAGTCACTTAAAAAAAAAGAGTCCAAGGTCTCTCGTGTTACTCCTTGAATTGGGTCATGATGGAGAGTCACAGAATTTGGAATATTTATTTTTGCATTCAAATGTATTTTTTCATTTGGTATTTAAAATACATTTTATAGAAAAATATGCTGCCTTTTATATAAATCAGTAAAATTGCTTGAAATTTTATTTAAAATTAAAGGAAGATATTTCTACCTTCTTCTCCAGCTAGAAAGGACATTGCTATGGATGTGTTTTACAGTGAAAAGTTCATGTAGAATCTTGAAGGAATGCTTTCTGGAACACGCCCTATACCTGATGAGATTTCATGTCCTATCGTATCTCAGAGCCATTTCCTCCTCACCAAGAATCGATGATCTCCACCTACTTTGGGCATCTCAGGGCCTGTTCAAATGTGTTATCCTACAAGACCTCACTTTCCTGTCAGCTCAGTCACAGAGAGAACGTTTCGGATGGAGTCCACATTCCATGGCTTAACACAAAGGCTTTGTAAAGATCCCTGCTTCTTGTCCCAGGCCTCCATCCTTTCCCTGGGCCCTTTGAGACTGCGTTGGTGACATGGGGCGGTCTAGTGACAGGTCAAGATTTAGTCGTTGGTGGGAGAACTTCTCTCCTCAGAGAGGACCATGTTCTATTTTATTGTGTGCTCAAAGAGGCGTTCTTCTCTCCTCTGGCGAAAGGCGAATTCGAGACTTAAGCTCCCGAAAGCAAATGCACTGCAGGCAGTGGAGTGACTGATTGCAACGAAAATGGGATGTGAACATTCAATATTTGTAAGAAAGCTCAGCAATAGCTCTCTGCATCCTACCACATTTAGAATAAACTACACAATGTCCCCAAGAGAGACTAAAGTGAAGCAGAAGATCAAACTGGATTCCTGCTCATGAGACCCAGTTGTGCTCCTGATCCAGCTCTGAATCATCTTGACATTCGCTCTCATTGCACCACCAGGACACAGGGAATGCAGCATGTAATGTGCATCAGTGGGATTAGCCCTAATAATAAACATGCCCAGCCCTGGGGAAGCAGCTGCATCAAAAGGAGGATGTACCAAGGCAACCAAGTTTGTGTGATAACTAATTGGGGGTTCTTGTACAGCACGCACCATAAATCCTGCAGGCCATCCTAGAACCTGTATAAAAGCACCCGAGACACTGAACTCTTCTAAACCCTTCTCTGGACTTCATCTCCTCGGTGATCTCGGTAAGTCCAATTTGACTCCATCTCTTTCTCCTCCGAGAGATGTCACAGGGGAGCCATACGAGTTTTCACAGTAGGGGCCATATCCACTTTAGAGTAAATCTTTCATTGATTCTCTGTAATTCTTATCTTGCACGATACTATTCTTCCATATCTATGTCATGTAGTTATTCAGTTGCAGGCTGTGGTGGATGTGTGATTTGAAGCCAAAGGTGGAGGGTTTTTTTGAGCAACACATGGAATTGAAAAACGGATTTCCTATTAACAGGAAACAAAATTAAGACTTTTAAACCTTTACAGTAATATTAGAAAGTCCTTTAGCCGTTTCTCACTGAGCTAGATTTGGAAGAAACTTTCCCAGCATAGATCATACATGGCCAATTCAGCACTCTCCTAATGTATTCTTTTTGGGTACGTCTGTGCTACAGAGGAAGGTCGACACTGCCACTGCCGATCTTCCAGGGTTCAAATTAGTGGGTCTAGTTAAGACAGCTCATTCGAAGCAGAGGGGCACTTCAGTAGACGTCAATAACTCTGTTTGAACGATGAGTAAGGAAGTCGAAGGGAGACTGTTCTCCTTTCGGTTTTCTGTAGTGTCGACAGTGCCTTGACTTAAGTTATGCAATTAATGCAGTTGAAGTTGTGTATCTTATTTCGACTTTGTCCCGTAGTGTAGATGTACCCTGAGAAAAATGTCTGAAATGGAATACAGAATCCCAGATTTCTATCAGTTAAATAGTTACACTAAATTTCCCTCCTAAAGTGCCCCCTTGAAATGTTATCAATGAATTTATCTGATAAAAACAGCCTGGAAAAAGTGTAACTACGTAAGAGGATTAGAAAGTGGAAATAGGAACAAAGACATACCAGTGAATATAGTGTAGAAATCCACTCTTCCACTTTTGCTCAGGTCCCATGTAGATCCAACCAGAATAAGAAACGAGCTATGAGGCAATTCCTCAGCAAACACCTGCATCTTCTCTTTATTCCATTCTATTCTATTTCAGGTTTACCTCCATCACACAAAGATGTCTTGCTATCCAGAATGCGGGGTGGCCCGACCCAGCCCAGTTTCCGGCACCTGCAACGAGCCGTGCGTGAGGCAGTGCCCTGACTCCGAAGTGGTGATCAGACCCTCACCGATTGCCGTGACCATCCCAGGGCCCATTATGAGCACCTTCCCTCAGCAGAGTGAAGTGGCAGCTCTCGGAGCCCCTGTGGTGGGATCCGGCTATGGCGGCTCATTTGGTGCGGGAGCACTCTCCGGATATGGAGCACCTTACGGGGGATACTACGGCTTGGGAGGTTTCGGTGGTTATGGGGGACGTTTTGGTTATGGGGGTCTCTGTGGTTATGGAGGTGGTTATGGTTATGGGAGAGGCTTTGGGGGACTCTGTGGTTATGGGGGAGGTTATGGGGGGGTCTGGGGTGAGGTTACGGTTATGGAGGATCTTGTGGCACCGGGGTATCTTGTCATCGGTACCTGAGTGGAAGCTGCACACCATGTTAGACATGTCAGGAATATCTATAGCCAAAGGAAAGACCAGGAAATGAACAACCACCAATAGTTCC